AGTTGAGTTGATTTTAAATAATCCACAATCAAGACCTCCAGCCAGAATTGAGAGATGGAATTTACGCTTGCAAGATTATGACTTTAATGTAAGGTATACAAAGGGACTTGACAATCCATCAGATTTCCTATCTTGACATTTACCTGTTAACAACACCACTGATGACAGACAGTTCCAAACAATGGCTGACAATTATGTTTGTTTCTTTACCCAACATGCTGTGCCAAGAGCAATGACTCTGCCTGAAATACAACAAGCCACCGTGGCTGATTCAACATTACAGATCCTAAGCAACCTCATCACAACAGGTAAATGGCATTTAATAGACTCTCTAGACGTACAATCCAATCCCAACGTAAAGGTTTTGGACTTGAAAGCATGTGAGAAAATTAAAACAGAACTTACACTAAACGAGCATGATGGAATTATATTACGAGGCTCACAAATTGTGCTTCCAGAAAGCCTTAGACTAAAGGCTGTTCAAATTGCTCATGAAGGCCACCAAGGGCTAGTAAAAACTAAACAGTTGTTGCGAGAAAAGGTTTGGTATCCAGGTATAGACAAGCTTGCTAAGCACACAGTGGATACTTGTTTGTTATGTCAGGCAAATGGACCAAACAGTCCCCAAGAACCACTGAGAATGACGACGCTGCCTCCCCAACCCTGGCATACAGTGAACATTGATTTTTGTGGACCATTTCTAGGTGGTTCATATCTGTTAGTGATTATTGATGCATATTCACGATTTCCAGAGGTGGAAATTGTAAGTTCAACATCTGCAAAATCAACAATATTGAAACTTGAACGAATTTTTGCCACACATGGTATTCCAAAGGTGTTAAAGAGTGATAACGGGTCCACCATTCCAGAGCCATGAATTTAGTCTGTACTTGAAAGAACTCGGCATTAAACATAAACCAAACTCAACATTATGGCCCCAAGGAAATGGACAAGCCGAGAACTTTATGAAACCACTTGTAAAGGCTGTGAAATCTGCCCATCATGAAAACAAAGATTGGAAATGTGAGATGTTTAAATTTTTGCTCTACTACAGAGCTACCCCACATTCCACCACTGGCAAGTCACCGTCCGAGTTGCTATACAACTGTAAGATTCAAACAAAATTACCTCAAGTGACAGTCGAAAATTATTCTTCACTTCATCAAGAGGTGAAGGAGAGAGATGAAAGGTTGAAAAAGAACCAAAAAGAATATGCTGATTCCAAAAGAAGAGTTAAGTGTGCTGACATCAAGAAAAGTGATTTAGTTTTGGTGCGGCAACCAAAATCAAATAAAATGTCCACAAAATACGATCCAATACCATATGAAGTCACAAATCGCTGTAGGAACAGGATCACAGCAATTAGGAATGGGAAATATATAACTCGGAATATTTCGTTCTTTAAAAAGTATCACCCCGGACAATGGCAGATCGTTGGAGTCAACAGAGATAATGGATGAAGAAAATTATTCCTCAGATGAAGATGTCCATGAAGAGCATGAAGAGTATGATGGACTGAGACAGAATGATCGTCCGCGGCAGCACAATGGTCAGAGACAAGATGATGGACCGAGATATCCGGCAAGAGAAAGCCAGCGGGTGTACAGTTATGGAAATAACATTTATGATTGACCTGGACTAAAACAGATAAGATACAGTTTAAACATTATATGCATATTTTGTTATAGTTAGTACTAGAGTTCATATTTAAATCAAGGGAGGGATGCAATGTTGACATTATTGACACTAGCACACACATGACTAGAAAGTTAGTTAAGTATTTTTAGAAGCACGAGGCTAGGGAACCGGGAAGTAATTGGATACGTACTATGCTGTTTGTACAAGTTGTTTGATATCTATTGTTATACTTAAAAGCGCTTGATATTGATACAAAACCGCGAACATTACAGGTTTGTGTACAGGAAAAGTGATGGATTATGCCACTAGATGCAAGAACTGCAGGTTTTGTGAAGAAGCCAAGGCTAAGGTGAAACCAGCTACATCACATGACTGCAGGAAAAATCACGAAGGCTCTTCAAAGTCAATGGAAAGTTCTGTTGCATGTGAACTATGGATCAAAGCACCATTATCAAACACAAGATATACCATATACATTGGTGATGATGATACAACGACACTAAGCCACATGCATGAGAAAGTACCCTATGATGTTGAGAAATGGTCTGACATTACACATGCAAAAAGGTCTCTAACAACCAAATTATATAACATTAGCCAAGGAAACAAGTTTAAAGACCGTTTTCCACTTTCACAAAAAGTTATCAACTATCTTGCAAAATGTTTTAGTTACTGTGTTGCTCAGAACAAAGGAAATCCTTCGCAGCTTAAGAAATCTCTGTCACAATTGTCCCACATGCCTTTGGTGACCACACTTTATGCGACTCATCTTGGTGCAGATTTATTGAGAACCCAGCTACCTACACACACAATGATCTGCCACACGGTAAAGACCTCCATGGTGAACAACTCAAGAAAGTCTTAACAGAACTCTTCAATGAATATTGTACTGACACTGTTATATCAAAGTTAGCTCCTTGTGCAAACTCTCAGAGAAAGGAATCACTAAACAGTGTAATTGGCACAAAGAACCCAAAGACAAGATATGGTGGCAGCGAAAGCAGTGATTTTCGTGTTGCATGTGGAATCGCACAAGTAAATGTTGGATATGGCTACATAAGCAATACATTGGAAAGACTAAATATTGAACCTGGAGAATTTTGCACAACTTATGTGACTAATATGGACAAAAAAACAGCCACTGCCAAATGAAGAAAAGGACAGAAAAAATCTAAGTATCGTAGAAATCAACTACGTCGTCAAAAAATTCAAAGCTTGCAAAGAGTGAGAAGAAAGAAGGCAAAACATATGAGTCAAATATCGGACTTAATCTACAGTTAGCAAATTCTGATAGCACATCATTCAGGGGTTTCAGAATGATCTGAAGTAGGCGGTTGTGCCAGAAAAGTAGCCGGCTGTGACTGATAGTTAAAAAAACGCGCAGGGAGGGGGGGGGCGCGTGCCCTCGCATGGAAATTTTAAAAAAATTTTGCACGCAAATTAACAATCAAATAATATAGAATAAGTGAGAAGATAAAGTACAACTGTTCACTTGTTAGATTTAGATGTCATTTGCATTTATACTTGTAAGTGACAATGTACTTTAATGAGCTACTTGTAGTTTAATCACAAATGTGTTTGCTGTCCGGAAAATGAAGACGCAATTTACAAACAAAAATATGCATATTCTATGCACAGACATATTACAGTAGCTGAGTAGCATGGCAGTGCCGTAGGAAGCTCTTTTTGATTAGGGGGCTGAGAACGAGGGCTGAAAGCCCGAGGAAATTTTTTAATTTAGAGTTACTGAAATGCCATTTCCTGGACTTTGGGGAAGTTTAGAACAGAATTTTGATGGTCAGAAAACAGCATTTTAGTATGTCGAAATTTACATTTTGTTTACAATTTAGTAGTACTAAATGGGCAAAGGCGTATTTAATTAACTATATATTGGAGAAGTTGCAGGAAAGTATGGGTAATATGATTCAGCAGTTTGTCATGGATAATGTAGCCTCTTAATATTAATCAATTGTCAGTATTTTAAAGGTATATTATCTAAATGATAAAGGTATGCATGAATATTTACCGATTTACGATTTCTTAATTATTAATATCCATGTAAATGCCATGATTTCGTAAATCACTACACTGACAATACAATTATATTATATTTTCTCTGTTTAACAACTAAAATTTTATTATACTATTATTGCCGTAATTTTCCGAATGGCCAACCTGATTTTCCGAATATGTTAATTCTAAAAAAGTTGGGCGGGGGTAACCCCCCCCCTTGCTACGGCCCAGAGTTTTTCACTTCATCACTTTATCATAATGAATTTGTTGTCAAAGAATAGTCACTTGCCAAAAACATTTACCAAAGTGGCTCTGAAGGTTCTCTGGCTCACTGCCAAATTCGGATTCCCCAATGGCAATGCTTAAGTCACTGTCAGAGTCAATCAGAGTTATCTTCCAGGAAGATTCACTTCAACACCAACTTAAGAAAGCAAGCTATGTTTGGTACTATATATTATTGATCTTATTGATCTTCCAAAATAAGTGATGTTTTGCATGAATTCCGATTGGAACATAACAAACATCGTGTTGGTTCGCTTGTACCTTTGTACATAATTTTTTTCCTGTGACCAGATGAAAAGTAGCCGGCGGTAAAAGTTCAAGTAGCTGGCGGAACTCTGCCGGCCGCCGGCTTATTCTGAAACCCCTGCATCATTTGACCCTCTACACATCACTGAATCTGTAACCGAAGAGCAACATCAAAGGTATGAGAAACTAGTTCCAGAGTTCTGCCAAAAACCACCAAGCAATGCTATTGCATATGATCCACAAAAATGCTATAAGTTCATAATGTTTGATACCGAGACAATAACCACAGGGTTACAGGCCGAGATTCAGCTATTCATGATGATGGACAAAATGAATTTTCATGTTATATTATGCCTGAAGGAGATGTAAGCATGTATGCATCAGAAGTAAACAAACTAGAAATATCCAGTATATACGGGCAAAGGGAATGTACAACAAAGAACCAAGCCCTGAATTCATTTACAAATTACATCACTAAGGTAAACCACAACAATGATGAAAATAATAATGTAAATAATATACCTGTTCTCGTCGGACAAAATTCATTAGTGTTCGATGTTCCGATTCTATTGCGTACATCCACTCCAAAATTCATCCAAACACTAAAGGAACTTAACGTCCACTTTGGAGACAGCTTAGTTCTTGCAAAGCAACTCTTGAAAGCACAACATCCTGAACTTCGTGTGGATTCATCTGGGAAATGTTGTCAAGTTTCATTGGAGTCTCTGTATTCAACCTTTTTTGATGAATCATTTCCAGCACATGATGCTAGAGAAGATGTTAAAGCTCCACAAAGGGTACTCTTCCAGTCCAAGTTAAAGTTGACTAAAGAAATGTTAATTTCAAAATCGAATGTCATTTTGTGTGAAAATGCATTGGAGCAACTCCAGTATAATGATGCCTGTAACGTTCGACTTCAAACTTTCTCCGGTAATTTGTACAATCCATCTAAGAATATAAAAGGCATAATCACAAAATCCATGACCAAGAAGATAGCAGAAAGCGGTATAACGTACCATAGGCCATCAGCCACTCAGCAGATTTTGACTTTTCGTTTCCCCCACACAGAGACAACAATTTGATGGGTGCAAATGTTGCTTAAAAGCTTATAAAGTCGAACAACAAAATGTTGTAATCGATAACACCTGCAGTTTTGCCAAAAATTGGCCTTCAAATTATGTAATTTTTACATTATATTCGTCGCCATTTTTTCACGCATTTCGAAGCTGTGTGTTCTCCTTGCGCATACCACGAAGCAGTGCTTCCATTTGCAAGGAAATAAAATGCAAGGAAATAAAATTTACAAGGAAATGGCAATGAATTTTGTTGTCAGGAAGAGAATAAGAGGGATATTACGTTATTTCTAATAAATCCTAAGATTACAGCATTTTCCAAGCAAACTCGATTCAGAAAATGTCGAAAATCCTATCCTGTAAAATGAAAAATCCGAAAAAAATTTGAGGGATGACCAACAGCTGGAAAATTTGTTGCACATGTGCCAGACTTCCATTGAAACTTGAAGATTTCCGTCATTTCCCCAAACTCCCGAAGAAATAACGAAATGTTCGTGGTTGTTGTATATTTTTGAATATCTGTTTAATCTTTATATTTTTTTTTGCTTGACACAAAGTAGAATATACTCTACGTATCCTGTGTATAGAATATCTCATTTGAACAGCAATAGAATATTATAATCTTGGCAAAAACAAGAAGACATTTGACATGCTGAATCTGCTTTATCTACAGTCATTCCTGCCAATGGTCGCGAGCTTGACAGCTAGTCTTGTCAATCGGAAAACAAGTACAAATTTGAGTTCAAACA